ACAAATTCTCCAAACTGATCTCCATACATTTCCTTCATAAATGAGTTAAGAGAATTTGATAAAAGATCAAGACATTTTCTCTTAGGTGATCATTTTATTAATTCTCATAACCTAATCTCTTGACATTGTATGGGTATCGTTAGGAGGAAATTGACGTTAGTCACTATTGGGACTTACGGGGTTAAAGAGGTGTTGTTTTGTAGAGGTTGGTGCTGATGAATGTAATCTGTGGGACCTGCAAGATGTTCATGCTAGGCAGGGCCTCTGATATTTACATTATGATTGTAATGGTGTGATTTTGCACAATTGACATCCAAATCACACCCTATCATATGAGCCTCAAAAAGTCCCATCATTAATTTTAAAAAATGCTTAATCTGGACAAAATAACAAACATAAATTCTAATTACGGGTGGAGGGGGGCTTATTTATTTTAGCAAAGATTATAGTAGCAGTTTTCCTTAAAGAACTAGAACACAGAGTGGAAATGCTCAAGTACATGAAGATGTAGGTCATGCAATCAAAGATCAAAAACAAATCCGACCTTCCAGCAATTGAATAAACCATGATACTGGATCAGTCCACACAACTGTCAAACAAAAATGAACTTTGAAAAGCTGTTAGACAACCAAGTCTTACGAACCACAATATTGCAATCTGTTTTATTCTTTTTAACGTTTATCCATTTGTGCCTCCTTTTGTGTTAATGTGTTATTTAAACATTCTTTTAATCTTTTAAGCAATTAAATTTGTTTTTAATTGTTGTATCTGGTGGTAGTTCCCTCTGTTTAAATTTTGATACTATAAGTTTTTTTCTCCACTTCATTAATGGCACCACTTATGGGTGGCTCAGGAAAAAGCAACCATTGTCAGTATGACCAGCATGCAAAGAAAGTGGTGTCCGATAGCCTGGGGCTAGAGGATTTTGCTATCGGGCTAGTGAATTCTGTTCTTAACTTGCCTGATGGGCAATGATTTTTGGGGGGGAATTCAAATTGAGGAACTGTAATCAATCCTGCTCATAAAATCTTTTTCAGGCTAGTTGAAATGACTTTCGGGCTAGTACATGCTAGGTACAGCTCGGAATTTGGGCAATCTGTAAAACTGACTTTCTTTGCACCCTGATGACTATCACATGTTACAAAGCTAGTGTTCTTCATGTTCTGACTTGTATTGGCAACTCCATTTAAAACTTGTATAAACTATTGTATGCAGTATTCTAGTCAAGCAATTTAAAGAATTTAGTTATTAACAATATGGTGTTATGTTTTTCTTATCATTAGGAGAGGCTTGGAAGACTGCATCAGAGTGTCACAAGAGAGACGGCTAAAAGAAAAGCTTTACTTGAACCCTCAGAGTTCTAGTACAACCAGAAATTTAACAGAAAGTTGTAGATAAATATAGACAAATCTTTATGCTGAAGTTAACTTACATTAAACATTTTTCCGAAAAACTTTGTTGGTGCTAAAGATTAAATTACAAACACTTAATATAACACCACTCAAGGTTTCAGTATAAATCACAATAATGATACCGCCTTTTATCAATATTAATATGCTAACCAAACAGTCCTATTAGTGCATCCACGTGCATATGAAAAGACAAAAGGCAAAATTCCAGGAGAACATCACGTGGTCTCAATTGGAAAGCTAAAAAGGTATATTAACAAACCGGGCGCAATTTCATCAACGAATCAGAAGAAGACGTGTTTCCCTCCCTTGGCGTCCTTTGCAAACGTGATTGGTTCGTTTGATTGTTAGCCCGTTCTGTAATTGGCCAGAGTAACTCTATACAAAAGACAATAAGCAGAATTAGTGCACAGCTCTTCTGACTCTCCACCAGGGAAAGCTTTATAGCATTTTGTAGCAAAGCATTTGCACCACTCTAGATCAAACAATTAGGATANAGGAGAGGCTTGGAAGACTGCATCAGAGTGTCACAAGAGAGACGGCTAAAAGAAAAGCTTTACTTGAACCCTCAGAGTTCTAGTACAACCAGAAATTTAACAGAAAGTTGTAGATAAATATAGACAAATCTTTATGCTGAAGTTAACTTACATTAAACTTTTTCCGAAAAACTTTGTTGGTGCTAAAGATAAAATTACAAACACTTAATATAACACTACTCAAGGTTTCAGTATAAATCACAATAATGATACCGCCTTTTATCAATATTAATATGCTAACCAAACAGTCCTATTAGTGCATCCACGTGCATATGAAAAGACAAAAGGCAAAATTCCAGGAGAACATCACGTGGTCTCAATTGGAAAGCTAAAAAGGTATATTAACAAACCGGGCGCAATTTCATCAACGAATCAGAAGAAGACGTGTTTCCCTCCCTTGGCGTCCTTTGCAAACGTGATTGGTTCGTTTGATTGTTAGCCCGTTCTGTAATTGGCCAGAGTAACTCTATACAAAAGACAATAAGCAGAATTAGTGCACAGCTCTTCTGACTCTCCACCAGGGAAAGCTTTATAGCATTTTGTAGCAAAGCATTTGCACCACTCTAGATCAAACAATTAGGATAGTAGAAAATTGTCACCCAGTAGTAAAAGTTGTAAGTAAAGAAAACAAAGGAAAATAATTTAAGAGAAAACGCATCTACACCAACAATAAACGTTTCCCGGTAAACAATTTCTCGAACACCGTTCCATCTTTGTCCCACTTTACTCAAACTACAGGCTTGCTTGGAATCACTGGCTTCTAAGATGCTTTCAGCGTATTCGTCGCCCTTTTGGTCCGTTGACTTGGTTTCTCCGTTGTGGAGTAGCTTTCGAAGCTCTCTGTCATCCAAAATGATAGCAGAGTGTCTATGTTTAATGTTACCATTAAATTGAGCCAGGCCACTAGTTATCTGAAATGATAAAAGTGTAGAAATGTAATTTGTAAAATGAAAAACTTTTTTTCTTCAAAATTGGTTTTTCAAGGCGCGAAGTGCGTTAGCCTACACTCGTTCCAGGACTCAAACGCTCGCTCGTTCTTGATGCCTACGCACGGGCTGTTTTCTGTGTTTTGTAGTCTGGGAGATATATAACAGCGGTTGTTTGGATGAAGACAGGGGCACCCAACGAGAATATAGTTCAAAACCACTAAAACATAGCATTGTTGAACGTATTTTAGTATTTAAACGGTAGATATAGGCATATTTTTATCCCCTAAAACTTTTTCATCTGTTCGGATTTCCTAGCTGAAAGTTTAGTGATTCGGAAAATTATATCAAAACTTACCTTTTCGAAAATTTCAGCCAGAAAAAAGGCTCCCGAAAATTCTAGGTGACCTTTTTAGGGTAAAAATCCGTTAAAAAAAGGGTAATTATACCATTTTTTAGATGTTCGAAAATCTTAGGAGAGGCAGGCAAGCAAGAAATTTTACAACAAATGTTCCGAAAATTCTAGATCTCAAATCGTCTTCCGAACAGATATTTTCCGAAAATTGACGTTGGGTGCTCCTGTGAAGATGCTTATGTCATTTTATAATTTAGTGGAAAACGCTTAAGTGTATGGATACCCGCGGGGAGGGGAACCATTGAAAAACAATCGCTTAACTAAAAAGAAAAATGGATGAAGACCGTGAAACGGCAACAAGAAAACTGATAGAAACGACGGAATGGAACAGTCAAAAAGGACACATTCCTTTTACTGCAATAACCGCCAAGTACACTTGCAAAAAAGCTGCATATTTTAAGTACAAAATACTAAGGATCTATCTCTGAAAAAAAGATGGCTTAAACATGCAAACCGCTAAAAATAATTCCCCTTCTAAGAATAGTCCTACAACTGCTTCAACACACTAGTGTATACTTGCAAGTGCGGTTTGTTGTTTAGGCTGTTATGTGGGCTATCCTTGGAATAGCTTGCGTAGCTACCAGGATTTATAGCGCGCGACAGCTTCATTCCGCGGGTGCCATTTTTGCTTTTCAGGGTCGGCCAGGGAGAGTAGTGGAATACCAAAATACCCGAAATAAACCTTCCAGTATATACCAAAAATTACACTAAAACTGGTGTAAAATACCAAAATTGCGAAAAACTGTCGGTATACTTTATATCCAAATTGGTCGTGAGGGAATACTTTTTACCCAATTGTAAGCATAAAAATACTGTATACCTGAAATTAAATACCCAAATATACTGTATACCCAAAAACCCTGGCCGACCCTGGCTTTTGTTCAGGTAAAGCCTTGAGAAGAGGCGGCTCCGCAGCTCTGTTCGCCAGCTAATTACGGAGGCTATCCTTGGAGTCAAGTTTAAACGATTCGCGGAACTACATAATCTGTACTTGTGGAAAGTTGGTTGCACAGTAGAAACATACACAAATTACCTTCTCCACAAGGTTCCTAGTTTCTTTCTTCTGTTTTTCAAAGTTTCGTTTTCCTCGATCAAGAAGGAGCACAATGGCGTACTCCACCAAAGAACAGAATACGAACAAAAAACACACGATCAAGTACTTGTCGATAGCTTTCACGTAATTCACCTGGAAAAATAATGAAAATATTTGTTGCTGTCACAGTAACTATTAAGTTAGCGGCAATGTATTTTTCACTGCTATCAGTGAAGTAAGTCTTGTAAAATTTCTTTAGTAAAGTTTACTGACAAGACAGAATACTATATATGCTAAGAATAAACACTCCCAAGGGGACGTATACTTAAAATTGTTCCAAAATTTAAAATCCCGGTCCCAGTCGTTCGAAACCCTCCGGGTTTCTGATTCTAGACTCTCTAATCCCTGGGTTTTCTGTAAAGTCGGCAAATTTAAGTGGTCATGGTTATTCGATGCAGACTTTTCCCTTTGAATTATTTAACCTGGGAATGCGTTTATAATCAAGTAGATTAAGGCCTGGGTCTAACTCATTTATGCTTTTTATGCACATTTTCCAAAAACTATTGTTAAAGACATCCACGAGGAATGATAGATGGTAAAGTAAACTAAACTTTAAAAAACCTTGATTAAAGAAATCCAAATTACTTGGTCATGTAATCGACTACGCCCTCCAGTGTTCAAAAATTGTAACCAACGATTCCCACCACTTTCTCTGTTGCAAAGTGTCTGCGAATTTAGCGGCTTGGAATGGTTCGAAGCGTTACAATTGACAGCTGCAATTGGTGTTCATTGACTAGTGCCAGTTCTCCTCTAACTAAAATTGACTTCATCATCGGCACTCCGACTGTTTTTGCAAGAAGAGTATTATTAGCTGATTTTTGGACCTACATAAGGAAAGCGGTTTGCCCTCTGTCCAGTGGGCATTTCGACGCAAATGATTCCTCAATAAAATAGAGCGTGGTTGATCAAGTCTGATGCAGTTAAAAATTAATTTTTAAAATGAAATTGGAGGATTTCTTGGTTATGATTAGCCTTAAGTTTGAAGTTTGAAGTTTATTAATTCGTAAATCAAGCAGTTCGAAAACTAAATTGCGTATTTACGTTACAAGAATTAAATTATAGATCTAAACATTAACTAATCTATCTTAATTAAAAGGAATAGATAACCTAACAAGAGATGAGATGCTAAAAAAAGTTATCGAAATACAAGCTGCGAAATTCGAAAACTCTAACCTATAAGTTAGTTGCTTTAAAACATGAAAAGATAATAAAGCTATTCTTAAAAGGGTCGGTTTTAAAAAGTGGCATGTTGCTAGTCATGGGATAGCTTACACCATTCCCCTTATAAAATTCTGAGAAATCTGTAAAGACCCAGGCCTTAATCTACTTGAGTAGCCATTCGGTGAACAACGAAGCTCCCCTGAAGAAATAATTCTTTAAACATATTTAATTCTGAACCTGAATGTCAACTCAGTTTTCAATATGTATCATTGGTCCAGGGTCAGACATCGAACTTCACTTGTGACGAACCTAAACTAATTAAGCAAAATTTATTGTTCTAGCTTGGCATTAGCTAGGTTCGTCCCATGTGAAGTTGGTCATTCGTGGACCCTGTCTTTACATACCACATAAGAAAGATCGTGCTAAATTTTAGTGCCGAGAAATACAAGTGGCATTTAGTTGTTAATTTTTTCCTGTCACACTTTAGCTCCCAGAATGAAAGCTGCAGTAATACGAATTAGGGTCCCATGGAGCACATTTACCCCATTGGTCCTATTTTATGATCCTTCTTAATATTTAAGCTTCTGTAACATTAAAAGTGAAAAGTTTGTACCTTGGGCATAGCGTTATTGGACATGGTCAGAACAGTTACTATGGTGAGGACGGACGTCACTCCAAGCGTGACTCGGGCAGGGGACTGCGTTCTAGGTAGAAGGAAAGTCAGCCAGGAGAGTACAGTGTCTCCCGAGATTGCATGAAAACCAACTATAATAAATAATAGTAATAATGATAATTACAGTCAACTCTTGCCTTGCAGACACCCACTATAACGGACAGTAGCTAAATCCCTGACAAAGACAAATTACAGACGTTTCCCTGAAATAAACTCTCGCTATTATGGACTCTCGCTAGAGAGGACATAAACTCAAGGTCCCTACAGTGTCCACTATAAAGGGAGTTGACTGTACATACTTATATGGCGCATTTAAAAAATCTCAATGCCCCTTACAATAATAAAATGTCTAGATGAAAAAATATAAGAACAGAAATCCCAATATAACTTCTCACAGCTTATGAATTTAAAAATGTTTGCCTAAAAAGAAAAGTCTTGAGCAGTGTTTTAAAACTGTCAACAGTCTTTGCTTCCTTAATGTTCTGTGGTAAGACATCCCACCATTTAGGCACTGCAGCTGGAAAAGCTCTACCACCATAGTTGTCAGTTCTAGCTCTTTGAGGACAGAGTAGTGAAAGTGACCCTGATCTTAAGGCTTCAAGTAGTCTGCTGACTGGCTGTTTATGGTCTTGTAAGTTAATAGGAAAATCTTAAATTCAATCCTCTTCTCAACTGGTAGCCAGTGCAGGGTTTTTTAATAAAGGCGTTGCATGGTTTAAATGTTTAGAATTCATCACAAGATGCGCCGCAGTATTCTGAATACATTTAAGTTTATCTCTTTGATACTTAGGGATGCCATATAATACACTATTGCAGTAATCTAATCAAGAGATGACAAGAGCATTAATTAACATTTTAAGCCCATCGTGTACAAGAGATACTTCTGAATGTGTCTTACTCATCTCATTGCAAGAGTCGCTTTTTTACAAACTTCATTGATGTGAGCACTAATAAAACAACAAATAATTAAGTTTCTAGCTTTCTTTTTAATGATGATGTTAGTTCCTGCAAACGTAATGGTTTCACCTAAAGATGGTTACTTTGTAAACTGCAATATAGAATGTAGCAGGTCAGTCTTTCCAGGATTACTCTTGAGCATAACTGTTCCATGAGAAAATATGCTCAACACATTGCTGAAGGGTATCGAGAGCATCATTTTTCGGGTGGTTAGGGTTAATAGAAACATAAACTTGACTATCGCCAGCATAGAAAATACAGTTAAAATCACAATTTAGTATCACATCTTTTAAGAAGAATTGGGTCAGGGTTTGGGAGGCAAATGGTGATCCATTTCTCCCCAGTCCTTGTTCATTTTCTTCTCTCTTGTTTTTGCTCTTTCCATTAACTATAAGCTTAGAACTGGCTAAAGCTATGGGATCACAACGGTCATTGAGAATTATTGATTGTTTTTATTATTTACCCATTTGAAATAGATCTGCGTAGGTTGTCTGAACTACAAGAACTTCCAGTTGATCTTGAACCATATGTAAAGAAGCTAATGAATTCTAGGAGAAGAGTCATGCTTGTAAATAACATACTGCAGAATGCCCAGGTATTAAATCAAACAATTTGAACTACATTAAAACACAATATGAACAACATAAATAAACAGCCAAACCTCCTTAAAACAGACACCAAAGGCACAGGGTTAACCCTTCAAGCCCCAATATCCACATACAAATTCTCCAAACTGATCTCCATACATTTCCTTCATGAATGAGTTGAGAGAATTTGATAAAAGATCAAGACATTTTCTCTTAGGTGATCATTTTATTAATTCTCATAACCTAATCTCTTGACATTGTATGGATATCGTTAGGAGAAAATTGACGTTAGACACTATTGGGGCTTAAAGGGTTAAAGAGGTGTTGTTTTGTAGAGGTTGGGGCTGATGAATGTAATCTATGGGACCTGCAAGAGAACTGTTCCTGCTAGGCAGGGCCTTTGATATTAGGATTGTGATGGTGTGATTTTGCACAATTGACATCCAAATCACACCCTATCATATAATCCTCAAAACCCCCTGTCATTAATTTAAAAAAATGCTTAACCCATTCGCTTCTGGAGATTTTGCCGAAAAACGCGTTTTGAAGCTTGTCGAGTGGTTTTCTGGTCACTGTCGTGCTATAAAGAGCTAAGACTTACCACAAACCGGTTTACAGGTCGTACACTTCATGGCCTTCTGATCCAGATGCAAAATATGAGCTTGCGAAGTTCGGGCATGTGCAGAAAGCAAAATTTCGGGTTAGTTTTTGGGTTTAAAAGTGACACAGCAGTCTTGACTTTGACTTTTCGCTTTCTCTCCTCCCCTCTTTTTTCCCTTTTCTTGCCTCATATTTTTTTTCTCTTGCTGGGCATTTAGTAGGCTTTATTTTGGTGAAAATAGTTTTTAGGAAAGCTTTTAGGATCTTAGGATTAGGTGAAAGGAAAGGTAGGTGGGCAATGGAACAAGATTTTCATGGAGATTTTCAGGTCAATGTTACATGGTTTTTTGCCTCTTTCTCTGGTGTCCTTGACTGAATTGTGCTCATTCTGGTATGGTTTGAAAGATCTCTTCACTCTGCACAAGTTAGTGAAGAAAGTTGTCCTTGACCGTTAAAACTGATGACGTCACAAAGGGTAGAAAGGACGTGGATCCGCACAGGCAGTTATGGGCGGTTCAGGGGGGAATGGGTTAATCTGGACAAAATAACAAACATAAATTCTAATTAGGGGTGGAGGGGGGTTTATTTATTTTAGCGAAGATTATAGTAGCAGTTTTCCTTAGAGAACTAGAACACAAAGTAGAAATGCTCAAGTACATGAAGATGTAGGTCATGCAATCAAAGATCAAAAACAAATCCAAACTTCCAGATATGATACCATGATACTGGATCAGTCCACACAACTGTCAAACAAAAGTGAACTTTAAAAAGCTGTTAGACAACCAAGTCTTACGAACCACAATATTGCAATCCTTTTTATTCTTTTTAAAGTTTGTCCATTTGTGCCTCCTTTTGTGTTAATGTGTTATTTAAACATTATTTTAATCTTTTAAGCAATTAAATTTGTTTTTAATTATTGTATCTGGTTTTAGTTCCCTCTGTTTAAATTTTGATAAGTTTGTTTCTCCACTTCATTAATGGCACTACTTATGGGTGGCTCAGGAAAAAGCAACCATTGTCAGTATGACCAGCATGCAAAGAAAGTGGTGTCCGATAGCCTGGGGCTAGTGGATTTTGCTATTGGGCTAGTGAATTCCGTTCTTAACTTGCCTGATGGGCAATGATTCTTTTGGGGGAATTCAAATTGAGGAACTGTAATCAATCCTGCTCATCAAATCTTTTTCAGGCGAGTTGAAATGACTTTCGGGCCAGTACATGCTAGGTACAGCTCGGAATTTGGGCAAGCTGTAAAAATTGACTTTCTTTGCACCCTGATGACTGTCACATGTTGCAAAGCTAGTGTTCTTCATGTTCTGACTTGTATTGGCAACTCCATTTAAATCTTTTATAAACCATTGTATGCAGTATTCTAGTCAAGTAAATTTAAAGAATTTAGTCATTAAAAATATGGTGTTATGTTTTTCTTATCATAAGGAGAGGCTTGGAAGACTGCATCAGAGTGTCACAAGAGAGACGGCTAAAAGAAAAGCTTTACTTGAACCCTCAGAGTTCTAGTACAACCAGAAATTTAACAGAAAGTTGTAGATAAATATAGACAAATCTTTATGCTGAAGTTAACTTACATTAAACTTTTTCCGAAAAACTTTGTTGGTGCTAAAGATAAAATTACAAACACTTAATATAACACTACTCAAGGTTTCAGTATAAATCACAATAATGATACCGCCTTTTATCAATATTAATATGCTAACCAAACAGTCCTATTAGTGCATCCACGTGCATATGAAAAGACAAAAGGCAAAATTCCAGGAGAACATCACGTGGTCTCAATTGGAAAGCTAAAAAGGTATATTAACAAACCGGGCGCAATTTCATCAACGAATCAGAAGAAGACGTGTTTCCCTCCCTTGGCGTCCTTTGCAAATGTGATTGGTTCGTTTGATTGTTAGCCCGTTCTGTAATTGGCAAGAGTAACTCTATACAAAAGACAATAAGCAGAATTAGTGCACAGCTCTTCTGACTCTCCACCAGGGAAAGCTTTATAGCATTTTGTAGCAAAGCATTTGCACCACTCTAGATCAAACAATTAGGATAGTAGAAAATTGTCACCCAGTAGTAAAAGTTGTAAGTAAAGAAAACAAAGGAAAATAATTTAAGTGAAAACGCATCTACGCCAACAATAAACGTTTCCCGGTAAACAATTTCTCGAACACCGTTCCATCTTTCTCCCACTTTACTCAAAGCTGGTGAACTACAGGCTTGCTTGGAATCACTGGCTTCTGAGATACTTTCAGCGTATTCGTCGCCCTTTGGGTCCGTTGACTTTGTTTCTCCGTTGTGGAGTAGCTTTCGAAGCTCTCTGTCATCCAAAATGATAGCAGAGTGTCTATGTTTAATGTTACCATTAAATTGAGCCAGGCCACTAGTTATCTGAAATGATAAAAGTGTAGAGATTTAATTTGTAAAATGCAAAACTTTTTTTCTTCAAAATTGGTTTTTCAAGGCGCGAAGTGCGTTAGCCTACACTCGTTCCAGGACTCAAATGCTCGCTCGTTCTTGATGCCTACGCACGGGCTGTTTTCTGTGTTTTGTAGTCTGGGAGATATATAACGGCGGTTGTTTGCATGAAGACAGGGGCACCCAACGAGAATATAGTTCAAAACCACTACAACATAGCATTGTTGAACGTATTTTAGTATTTAAACGGTAGATATAGGCATATTTTTATCCCCTAAAACTTTTTCATCTGTTCGGATTTCCTAGCTGAAAGTTTAGTGATTCGGAAAATTATATCAAAACTTACCTTTTCGAAAATTTCAGCCAGAAAAAAGGCTCCCGAAAATTCTAGGTGACCTTTTTAGGGTAAAAATCCTTTAAAAAAAGGGTAATTATACCATTTTTTAGACGTTCGAAAATCTTAGGAGAGGCAGGCAAGCAAGAAATTTTACAACAAATGTTCCGAAAATTCTAGATCTCAAATCGTCTTCCGAACAGATATTTTCCGAAAATTGACGTTGGGTGCCCCTGTGAAGATGCTTATGTCATTTTATAATTTAGTTGAAAACGCTTAAGTGTATGGATACCCGCGGGGAGGGGAACCATTGAAAAACAATCGCTTAACTAAAAAGAAAAATGGATGAAGACCGTGAAACGGCAACAAGAAAACTGATAGAAACGACGGAATGGAACAGTCAAAAAGGACACATTCCTTTTACTGCAATAACCGCCAAGTACACTTGCAAAAAAGCTTCATATTTCAAGTACAAAATACTAAGGATCTATCTCTGAAAAAAAAGATGGTTTAAACATGCAAACCGCTAAAAATAATTCCCCTTCTAAGAATAGTCCACAACTGCTTCAACTTACTAGTGTATACTTGCAAGTGTGGTTTCTTGTTTAGGCTGTTATGTGGGCTATCCTTGGAATAGCTTGCGTAGCTACCAGGATTTATAGCGCGCGACAGCTTCATTCCGCGGGTGCCATTTTTGCTTTTCAGGGTCGGCCAGGGGGAGTAGTGGAATACCAAAATACCCGAAATAAACCTTCCAGTATATACCAAAAATTACACTAAAACTGGTGTAAAATACCAAAATTGCGAAAAACTGGCGGTATACTTTATATCCAAATTGGTCGTGAGGGAATACTTTTTACCCAATTGTAAGCATAAAAATACTGTATACCTGAAATTAAATACCCAAATATACTGTATACCCAAAAACCCTGGCCGACCCTGGCTTTTGTTCAGGAGTAAAGCCTCGAGAAGAGGCGGCTTCGCAGCTCTGTTCGCCAGCTAATTAAGGAGGCTATCCTTGGAGCCAAGTTTAAACGATCCGCGGAACTACATAATCTGTACTTGCCGAAAGCTGGTTGCACAGTAGAAACATACACAAATTACCTTCTCCACAAGGTTCCTAGTTTCTTTCTTCTGTTTTTCAAAGTTCCGTTTTCCTCGATCAAGGAGGAGCACAATGGCGTACTCCAGCAAAGAACAGAATACAAACAAAAAACACACGATCAAGTACTTGTCGATAGCTTTCACGTAATTCACCTGGAAAAATAATGAAAATATTTCTGGCTGTCATAGTAACTATTAAGTTAGCGGCAATGTATTTTTCACTGTTATCAGTGAAGTAAGCCTTGTAAATTTCCTTAGTAAAGTTTAATGACAAGACGGAATACTATATATGGCAAGAATAAACACTCCTTGGGGGATGTATACTTAATGTTGTTCCAAAGTATAAAATCCCGGTCCCAGTCGTTTGAAACCCTCCGGGTTTCTGATTCTAAACTCTCTAATCTCTTGGTTTTCTGTAAAGTCGGCAAATTTGAGTGGTCATGGTTATTCGATGCAGGCTTTTCCCTTTGAATTATTTAACCTGGGATTGCGCTTATAATCAAGTAGATTAGGCCTGGGTCTAAGTGATTTATGGTTTTTATGCACATTGTCCAAAAACTATTCTTAAAGACATTCACGAGGAATGATAGATGGTAAAGTAAACTACAACTTTAAAAAACCTTGCTAAAAGAAATCCAAATTACTTGGTAGGCGTAGTCGACTACGCCCTTCAGTGTTCGAAAATTGTAACCAACGATTCCCACCACTTTCTCTGTATCAAAGTGTCTGCGAATTTAGCTCGGAATGGTTCGAAGCGTTACAATTGGCAGGTGCAATTGGTATTCATTGATTAGTGTCTCCTCTAACTAAAATTTTCTTCAGGACTGAGACGCTAATGTTTTCACTCCGACTGTTTTTAAAAGAAGAGTATTATTAGCCAATGTTTGGACCTACATAAGGAAAAAGGTTTGCTCTCTGTCTAGTGGGAATTTCGACTCAAATGATTCCTCGCTAAAATAGGGCGTAGTTGATCACGTGATGCAGTTAAAATTAATTTTTAAAATGAAATTGGAGGATTTCTTGGTTATGATTGGCCTAAAGTTTGAAGTTTGAAGTTTGAAGTTTATTAATTCATACATACATGGCAGTTCGAAAACTGAATTGCGTATTTAAGTTGCAAAAATTAAATTATAGATCTAAACCGATTAACTAATCTATCTTAATTGAAAGGAATAATGAAGCCAAAAAGAGATGAGATGCTAAAAAAAGTTATCGAAATACAAGCTGCGAAATTCGAAAACTCTAACCTACGAGTTAGTTGCTTTAAGACATGAAAAGATAATAAAGCTATTCTTAAAACGGTCGGTTTTAAAACGTGGCATGTTGCTAGTCATGGGATAGCTTACACCATTCTCCTTTTAAAATTCTGAGAAATCTGTAAAGACCCATATCCTAATCTACTTGAGTAGCCATTCGGTGAACAAAGAAGCTCCCCTAAAGAAATAATTCTTTAAACATTTTTAATTCTGAACCTGCATGTCAACTCAATTTTCAATATGTATCATTGGGCCAGGGTCAGACATCCAACTTCACTTGTGACGAACTTAAACTAATAAGCTAAATTTATTGTTCTAGCCTGGCATTAGCTAGGTTCGTCTTATGTGAAGTTCGTCATTCGTGGACCCTGTCCTTACATACCACAGAAGAAAGATCGTGCTAAATTTTAGTGCCGAGAAATACAAGTGGCATTTAGCTGTTAATTTTTTGCTGTCACACTTTAACTCCCAGAATGAAAGCTGCAGTAATACGAATTAGGGTCCCATGGAGCACATTTACCCCATTGGTCCTATTTTATCATCCTTCTTAATATTTGAGCTTCTGTAACATTAAAAGTGAAGTGGTTTGTACCTTGGGCATAGCGTTATTGGACATGGTCAGAACAGTTACTATGGTGAGGACGGACGTCACTCCAAGCGTGACTCGGGCAGGGGACTGCGTTCTAGGTAGAAGGAAAGTCAGCCAGGAGAGTACTACAATGAGTCCGCTCGGTCCGTAAAGGTGAATCACTTGATAACTGTACAGGCGCTGTAAGGAGAATGAGGCTCTCAAGCCAGAGTAGTTGCCTGTAAGACAGAAACCTTTTTCGCATTATTGACGGTGAACTGAGACTAAAGCTTGCATACAGTCCAGGCTGATGGTGGAATACCTCGATCCAACCGCATTAGCCTCGACTGAGAGTCCTAGTGCGTTCATCGTCAAGAAATTGAAATAAAACTGACAAGTCCGCTCACTTTTCACTGCCAGATACATCTTTCTTCTCGGGCTCAGGGCTGGTCACCAGGCGTTGTGTCGGCTAGAACAAGGTAAGCCATGGAAATGAATCTGATTATTCGGACTTGATTTAACGAGACTTTTAAAAAAGGCAGGAACTTTGTTTTGTTACTGGGTGGTGTAAAGCGGAGCATCATGGAAATGGTATGAATGGTAGCTGTTTCAAGTGCACAGCAACAGGACATAATTATGAAAGTCGAGAAATTGAGACAGTCTCCTAAATAGAGTCATTCCTGGAGTATATCGCTCTAAAAGACCTTAGAGATGTTAGAAACTAACATAATTTTCAGGATCGTTTTAAAAAGCTGCGCAGGAATTATCCGATATTGACAGGGTTGTGTTAAGCAGGGAACGGCCACTCAATCGCTAAATCAAATGTTCTGGAGTTTTTCGTCAATTTTCCCTCAAAGAGGCCGGAGACTATTTTCTACGCATTTAACATACATCATAATTGAAACAAATTAACAGTTATTTTAATAAATAATCTTTGAGACTGGCTTTTATTTACCAACAACATATCGGGTGAAAATTGTTGAAAGATGCAGCTTGGTGAGTTTAAGTTGAGGTAGCATCTTCATGTCAAGAGGTACAAATGACATTCCATCCTCGCTGGAGTCAGTTTCCCATTTGTAAATGATGTTTTTTATGTCATAGCCATCTATAAGACATTAAATAAAAGAGATAAATTAAAGCAACATGTTCAACAAGTAATTACGTAAAAAATACAATTATTCTCAAATCCTTAGTGGAAAGTGCGTGAGTAACTATTGCGTTGCCCAGTGCACACGTACCCGGGTATTTTTTCAAAGGGGAGACATTTTTCTCGGTTTTCAAAAATATAATAATAATAACGCATCCACAAGTAGCTTATTCGAATTGTTTTGTCCGTCCACACGAAAACGCTGAAACGAAAGAAATACGATTTGCATCCCTTACAGAGCGTAGTGCTAGTAGTATGGCCGGATTTTTGAAAACGTTATCGTCAAATGGACCTTTTCCGTCCAACAGTTTTTTTCGTCCAACATTTTTACTGCCCTCGTCGTCTTCACTGTTTAAGCTCCCTACTATAAACTGCAACTTACAACTTTCAATAATCAATGGGCATTCCTGCACGTCCATAGGATAAAGGCGTAAATCCATGGGACAAGAAGCTTTCAGAGTAACTCTGAAGAAAAATAAAAGTCAATGCATGCAGGAAAATAAAAAAAATTGTTTATTACTTTACAGTTACACTTACTAGCACCACAATTTACAATAAGTTATAGACTAAGTTTTTTCCGAGGCCAGGCCCAAATCTGAGAGGGAAAAAAGATTCCGTACACTTCAGTAAGGAACTTGAAAGCGAGGTTCGTAAGTTATTTATTATATCGTGATTTACGAAGAGAAACCAATATTTTTGTGTAAAATACTAAATTCACGAACTTAACGGCCATTGGTCGATGATTAGGGAAACCAGATCCTAAACGCCACGAAATATAATTGACTCAGTACTGGCTTCTAAAATCGAGACTTTAATATTTTTTCTGTTACAAACTGCGATCAAAACTTAAATTCGTTGTTCTGGTTGTTCATAGACGGTCAATAACTACTAAATTCAGAATTGACCAATCTGCACTGCTGATTGCTTACGTATATACTGTAAATTTGACAAAATAAACTAGTTACGTAGGAGTACTCTGTATCAGCATCTGGGCGATTTTCATGCTGCAGGGGATGTTTGAATTTTGCCTGACTGTTTGAGAGCCGTTTTCGTGTATCCCCCATTATGGTTTATTAATGAATTACACCTTATTTCAGATCACTTTTTCTCACTGGTTTAGTGATTTACTATTTGATTAAACCATAAATCACACACCCCTTGTTATGATATATACAGCTTATTTCCCCTTCTCTATCGGTCGGTAGCTGACTAGCCTTACCTTGCATTGTAATGTACCAAGCCCCCAGGACCAATGGAAATCATAATATTCGGTGTGGTGACGTCGTGGAAGCTTGCTTTCTTTGCGTTTTTGAAATAACTGTCGGGCAGCCATGTATGAGAAAGCACCGTGTTGCTTAGAGATAGAGTACCTTGAAGACCGTGGTCAAGTCGCGGGTCAAACCAAGATTGACGAAGGAAAATGTCTATCCCGAACTCCTGTTAAGAGTTGAGGGCCAATTATTTTTAAGAAAATGAAGGAAGAAACGACGAGCTAATCAATTATTTAATTGATTCCACAGCACACTGACCGAGTCCGCTAGTAGCCAATACACGAGAGCACGGGGGAGATTTTCAACGTAGCGCTTGTCTTTTTCGTTGGGTCTACTTATACCATCCCTGAAGAAAACTTCTAGCCTGCGATCGCAGACGTATTTCCGGTCGTCGCTTCTCTATTTCGGAGCGGGGTGAGAAGCGACGATCGGAAATACGTCTGCGGTCGCAGGCTAGAAAACTTAAGGATTACTCGTGTGTTCTACAGCGGCTGTCAGTCTATTGGGTAAAAATAACGAACAGCTGTTAACTTTCTCATCACTCCTTTTCGGCAATTTCTTTAATAAGCATAGTACCCTTAGTTTTTCAAAGACATTTTTTTCTTACCATATGCATCAGATTTATCGCATCGATTGACAGAACCCAGAATCCTACTGTCACGATCACCGGTTTGTCTGAATAAAGCAAATAAGTTTGTATCACATAGAAAGTACTTCAGTTAATTAAAGTGTGAAGAAATGATTCTGAATGATGAACCACTGATCCTGTGTGAACTTCGCGCTAACGAGGTGTATCCATGTCCTTCAACACAGACGTAACACCAAAATGGTCGCAAGCCCAGACGTTAGAAGCGGCCCTTTTTATTCTAAATCAATGACTGGAAATCATTGTTTAACGTGCAAGAGTATGAAATATAATTAATAATAACTGTATTATTCTGTTCTTTGGAAATCCCCAGGAAAACATTAGCTTACGGTTGAAGTTAAGCCTGAGTCTTGGATCGTAGTGAGGCTTTGTAAACAGTAAGTCTAATCGTTCGGTCAA